GAATAAGCCTACGAATGCTTAGATTCAGTAACTGGCAGCACCACTGGAAGCACCATTGACTTCAACTAGACTTTTTCCATTCTTACGGCACTGTTCCAAGCCGCTGACATTTGAGGGGTTCAGCTGACATTTTCCTCCAGAATTTGCTGATACAATGCTGAATTCATTGTTCTGTCAATGAACACAAGCCGTCCAGCTCTGAGGAAGTTAATGCAGCCCAACCACCATGCTTGATGGTCTGACTGAAGTTCTTCTCTGAGGACAGCATTGTTCGGCAGGGTCACCATAATCGGGAATATTTTATTTTTTATTTTCCATCAGTCTGATGGAGGATGGGTGGAGCCCCAGATGTTTTTTTAAATGCTTTTACAACCACCTTCACACTGATGATCATTAAATTTTATTTGAGGCATAATACATTTCTGCTGAACTTTGTGGTAAATACAATGTTTTCTGATCATTATATACAGTAGGACAGAGCCAATGAAAATCAGTCCTTGTTACGTGTCACCCGGTTATTTAATCTATTGTTCTTAAGCAAGAATCAAATAACCAGGATATGTTATTTATGACCTTTTTAAAAAACCCTTTTCAAATGACTATGTTCACACTTCCAAAGACACTGCTATGGAATGCATAGAAACAGATTGTCATTTTTAGCCATCATCAGCTAAAAATGGCAGCCAGGCTGTAACTGTATGCATACAGAAGCCCAGAGTTAGCAATAAGAGCAGCAGCAACAGAAACCCTCAAGATGATGGAAGTAACAGTTTCATAAGTTTTGGACTGGGATTTCCTTTCATTTAGCCAGACTTTGGTGATGTTTCATAAGATGGAGTTGGGCGCCCAATCTGTCATGATATACACATATATATGATCTTATCTGAATATGAGAATGCGTTAGTAAAAATGGATTGTATTTCATACCATTACTGACTATTTTTATAACAGATTTCATGCTGTGCTCTCAACATGTTAGAGGTAATAAGAAAAGGTTGAATGGGATTTCTAAACATGAAATTGTATTAAAATATTCCTGACAGATTTTAAGAGATATTTCCAAACTCTTTAATGAACTAAGGAGGGAAAATATTCTTGTTGCTTTGTGAAATGCCACCAACCCCATCGGAATGTGTTCTATTCTCCCTCAGTTCTGTTTGGCCTTAGTAAAAGTCTGCAAGGGTGTGATAATGCACTGCTTGTCTTCTCACTCTTGAGAAGTGGTCTCAGATAAGCATCAAGCTCTGTAGGGTATGTGTTGTTTCAGCCTTTTGACATACTCTTAATGGATACCAATAGATTATACTGACACTTTAGCAGAACTGTGATGCTCCCTGCTAATCAGTGTCTGATTAAATGCAGTCTCATAGCATTTTAGAAAAAGAATGCTCTTCCTTACCAAGCATTTCTTTCTATAGGCCTGGTGAGTGCCACATGCTCCACCAAACCAAAATGCTCCCAGTGAATGTAATTAATATTTTCTTATCACTATGGTGTTATGGATTCGGTCAGTCTTCAGACCACCTAAATCTTTATTTAATTTTATATCTTCTGTGGTGCTCATAGAGAGTCCTAACTTTATTTCATAACACACAGGCAGAGTGAGAGTTTTAGAAAGGTAAGTAAAGTATTTTGCAAATGGTAGAGAAATTGGTGAATTTGTTTCAAATCTTGTACAAAGAGTTCAAAGCAAACTTTGAAAAGCAATCTTGTAATGATCTAATCCACAGAAGGGCACTAATTCTTTTGGTCTTACATCAGTATTAAACATTGAATTCTTGTAATGAAGACAAAAAACATTGATGTGTATATTTATCACTCCAGATCCAGAGGATATTGTTTTTGCATATCATTCTTTTTTAAACCAAGATTTAAAAAAAAATATTTTAGGAAGCATTTCTTTACCATCAGGAATTGTAAAAAAACAGACTAGTTGATCTCACAAGCTATGTAGTTAAATCACGGTCAGCCAGTAAAGATTGCAGTTGTATCTCATATTATTCAGACTGTAAGTCTTCAAGATACTTGTTTTCATCCACAGTTCCTTAAAAGCAGTGTGAAACCATTAGGCCTCAAAATATAACGGCCAGCTGTGTGTAATGGGACTGGGGGCATTCTTGAAAAAGCAGATTTGTAAGTGATTGAAGAGAATAGTAGCAGATAAAGTAAATTACAGTGGTGCTTCATATGTGAAATCTCCATTATTGTAAATTGCAAGTTTAAAAAGGATACTGTCCAAATACATTTTCATATGTCATAACTGGAATTTTGGTACCTAAACTGCAAAATAAATTTTAAGTATTACAGGGTGTCATTTATGGGATTTCTATCTTCTCATATCATTCACAGACCATTGATTTACAATTTCATTTTTCTTCCGTGATTTTTTATTTTATTTTTTCTTTCCGTTTTTCCAATTTTACCTATTTACGTGGACCTTTCCAGTTTTTGAGTAGTTGTCAGCTTTTCAAAGCCTAAACTGTATGTGATTTCAATGTTTTTGTAAGGAAATGAAAAGAAGCTGTGTGAGTTTGGTGGGTGACAATTCAAAGCAATTACTCACATAACATATTTTACAAACTAGAGATAGTACTTTACTTTTTAGAATGACTGACCTCAAAATAGTTCAGTCTCATAAAATGAACTCCAGTCATAACCCTATTTAAGACTATTTTTTGCTTTCAGCATAAACTGTTATAATAGATGCTGGTCTTTTAATAAATGAACACTGCCTTGTAAGAACTGGAGAAGAAGATGGACACATTCTGCCACACATTATATAGAAGTGCAGCTGAATCACAAATAAGTTAAAGTTGCTTTAAAAGCCCTGGAGTGCAAAATAAATATTCAGTTTTAATTGAGAAGATAATGGCCTGAAAGAAATCATTGCATGAGAGAAGGTGGTCTTATTATCAGCTTTAAATGAAACACCACAGGGTGAAATAGCTCCAGGTAATGGGCCCAGCCTCTCAGTGTGCCAGTACTACACTTTGCTGTTTTAATGAGGTAGGGTAGGCAACAGACAAAAGAAAGGTTTTTTCAGTATAAAGGGCATATGGAGAAGAGGCAAAGGAGATGATTGTAGACCAACCAGGGCCTAGGATTTGTTGAAGCTTGAACACTTGCAAGGAATGTAAGACCATGTAGCTCTTACGCAATTATTCCATTTCAATAATCATTAATCATACATTTAATTAAGGTTTCCAGTGAACTGCACAATGGCATGACCATGGGAACAGTTTGAGAGAGTAAAAGGCAGGCAGCAGTCTTCATTAGGTTTGCGGAAATTTACAGTAGTAAGTCTAGATTTCAAAAACCTATGTTGCAATACACTATGTCACCAGGTTTTTAAACACCAGTCCTCTTTGGTCTGTTGCCATGGTGAGGCTATTGTATGGTGTTTGCTGGCACAGAATGTCTGCTGCTTCAGGGCCTTTATCTTTGATCAGACAATTGATCACAAATTGACTTCATCATGTTTTTATACTTAGCTGTTCCACAAAAACATACAACTAAGATTAAACCAACAAAATCCATTCAATTAGTAGATTAAGCCCCTAAAATAATTATTAAAAACAATGAACATAAAACAGTATAATACTTAAGAAACTGCATTACTAGGATTATGTTGGATACCACCGTAATGACTTTTTACAGCACAAATTGATATTGATGGAGGTTCTGCAAATATCAGTTATTTAAACAACTTTTAACAAAACAGTAGCTTGATGCATCCACTCTATAAGGCTTCTAAATATGTAAGAGTCAATGCCTGTTTTTTGTAAAAGGGAGATCCTGTAACTAACCTGACCACAATATTGTGCACAGATATTAAAAGAATTAAGATTTATTTCGGCATTCTTCTCTATCATAGACAGAAAACGAATCTCTCCATTCTAGAAGTAAATCGATCTCATTATTTAAATAAATTACGTTTTCAATCAATAGCCATGATAGCACATGAAAGATAGCAGCTACCATTTGTTATCAATCATCCCTGACAGGTCAGGTTTAATAACATGAGGATGTCCTTTTCCCTTAATCATTTAATAAGGTCCATTATGAGACCCTGCACAAACGTTTTCCAAATGTTTCTATAACAAATACATTAAGTTAAGCATATTTCAACATAAGATGCTTTAAGTAATTAAAGGTTAATTTCCATGTACAGATGTTTCCTATGTAAAATTTGTGCTCCATTTGCAGAATGCGAGAGAAACTTTGTTACTAGCAAATACACAAAGGAAGTACTTCGCTTCAGCGAAGATGGGTTTTGTGATCTCGAAAATACTGAGCCACAAATGTCAACCGAAATACATATAAAAATGTGTTCACAATGACACATATATTCAACATTCTCAATAAAGTCTGTTTTAGTAAGCCAGCAAATTTAGTAAAGTCTGTTTTAGTAAGCCAGCCTTTAAAACATCAAATTGTATAGTTGTGTTAAAGGTTTTCTTTCCATTTTTGATGAGAAAAAGATGCTGAATTAAAATGTTTAATTGTGCATTACCGAGAGAAAATGCAACGAAAACAACATCATGGCATTAAGCAATCGCATTGTCATTACATTTTATACACGTGGGTGTAAAACACCAGATGTGAAAGGTTGCCCTTCTCATTATTATAAAACTTCCATAATTAAAAAAAAAACCTTGTGACTACTGTTCTTGTAAATAGACACCGTAACTTTGGATGTGACACGGGGAACAGTCCAATACAAGACCACTGCAGACACACCCCCGGAGGGACTTAAATCTGCCTGTAATAATGGATTGCTGAAATCGATTACTTTGGAGGATTGTATCATAACAAGATATTTTCTTTACGGGTGCATAACAGAAAAAGCTCTTCCGCTGAGAACGAACATGCCTCTGAATTCGTCCCGTCTATTGAGAATTGATTTATTTAATCATAGATTACCCCCTTTGTAATATTTGGTTCAGCCCAATGAGTCTTTTGATCTCTCCAGCTTGGAAAGAATAGCACAACATGTTAGGAGCAACCCTAGCGGCTGCAGTATTCACAGCGGCGGCAGAGCAGCAAAACTTCTCAAACTTGAGACAGGACGTAACTGGAGGAACTAAAGGAGTCCGAAGAACCCATGCAGTCATGATCTGAGACCGGCTACGGTCCCCATTCATGAGCGTTAAAAAGACTGGGTTAGGGAAAAAGAGAGAAAGCTGAGCAAATTATTTTGCGAAAGCAGAACTTGGGGAGGCACGTTCACAAAATGCAAGTTGATGTAGCGCTTTGTATCACTCTCCTAGCTTTGGTGCTTTGGAATAAAGGTAGGTGCAACTTCTTTTTAGAGGGGGGAATTCATTGTGAGTGTGTCCTGTTGTTTGGTCTGAAGCGTGTGCGACACAATATTATGTAGGAATGTGTGTAACTGCGCGATATCCCCCAGCCCGTTTACTTTAATGGTGGAGTACAATGATTTTCCATTCAGTGTTTTAAGACTGTAGTTTGCAAAAAAAAAAAGACCCCAGTTTACCCTCATGGAAACATATCGATCCTGGTAGTCAAACGAGCTTAAGTGTACTTTTTAAATGGTTTAATAATTGTATTACTAAAGATCATTGTGCATTGTGATTTATCGTCATTAGCAAAACCTACTGATGTGAGACGGCGAAAAGACATTGTTCTAAATACAGTAGTTCTATTTTCGGGATCATTTATAGTTCAGTGATGTTTGCGAGTGGCGAATCGTTTATTGTACCACTGTGAACCACAGCAGTTACAAGAAATGTGCAAATTACCCAGTCAATCACACAACTGAGAGATGAAGGGCTAAATAACCATGTTTGAGAGACAGACTTGAGCCCCAACGTTTTAGTGAATAACATCACTGCAGTTGAGCAGTAACTGCAAGTTAAAAAAACGTGCGCTTTGATTTCAATACAGACAGGATAAACGCTATATCGTGGTACCTGTGACTTTTATGTGTGCTTCTTGTACAGCCCGCAATGCCTGGATTCATGCGAGCATATTGGTTATTGTCACTCATCTAGATAATAATGTGTGATCTTCAACTGAAGACCGCCGATTTGCGGCTTAATCTTGCAAATCATATGCATAATGAGAATTTCCCCGATTGCCAGCGGTCTCTTTCGTCCTGCTTCTCCACAGGTCCCAATGCATTCTATAGAGGTCTTTAATAGGTCCCAGCAGATAGGTTTTAAGTCTCGGGTTTTTTTTTTCCTATCACCTTGTATTTACAACATGTTGGGACAGCAGCTTGGAAAGAGGCTGGAATGCAGGAACTTCTGCGAACATCCACGGACAGCCTTTTAAAGAGGCAGGCCGTTCCGACTTCTCGCCTCTCCGGAGCGGTGCGGGGTGTTAAAACGCAGACTTGTCTTGTACGAGACAATAAATCGCCCTGCCGGGAATCGCTCTGTTCTCTTTAGAGTCGTTTTACAATTCACGGCGATCAGTTTTACAACCACTCTTGCATCATCAGCTTTTAAAATCCGAAGTACTTTAAAGTTTTTCAATGCTGATCAGCAATATTAGTAGTATCCAAGTGTCAAGGAGAATAAAAACCCGATGATCGATACAGTATGTCGTATATAGTACAAGATGCGTTTTGATATCGCAACGGGAGAAAATATGGTTAACAATGAGTGCTAATATAATTATTGTGAAATGCGTCTTAAATTCGTACACAACACTATCTGTTGTTTATATGAACGTCCAAAGTGCATTGCTATAACTAATCCGCAACCTGAAAGGTCCTGATTTCAACTCTATGCAAAAATATTGAATTTTTAATTGCCTTCATATTAACTTTAAAAAGAACTAAAAATGAGTATTAATTTATGGTAGATATGTATCCCTCCCGTGACAGTGATGTATAATAAAGTCCGTGCTAGCCCAGCTGGACAAGACGTGTGTGTTGGCTCTTTTCATTATCAATACAACTAACGCATTAATTTAACTGAATTGTTTTTGGTGTAGTGCAGACATCACTCATGGTGTTGTTGAATACATTTTTAAATTATAAACGATTACTTATTTTACATCCATTTTGCAGGGCACTCTCACTAGACCGAATGGGAACGAGCCACGCTATTATGGGTTGATCACAAAGCTTAATATTCTCTTTATTTAAACGTAATTGTTTTTATAGCGCGGAATAAAAGTACATTTCCTCTTAGTGGCACACATGATATATACATCTGTCGTGTCAGGGAGTCTAAATAATATACAGTAGGCAGTTTTGTAAGTTCAGTAGTTACTATCAAGTTGAAATCATGGGTTACACAGCTGTGGTATTCATATGTAGAAAATGTTCAACAGCTGAGAACAAGACTGTTTATAAATCGCCCCAATGGGAGTCGCGTTTAATTGTGTCAGATATCTATTTAAGTAGTTTTTTATTTTAACTCTTTGGCTGTTGGCACACAGTTTGAAAATGATAATGGAGAAATATTTTTAAACAACTTAGCTTTATTATTAAAGTAATAAACAGCTTAATCAATGCAATAGTTAAATTGTTCTATATGTGCGTCTTGGCAAATAATGTACTAAGCTGAGCGTTTTCCCTAAAGATGTTTGGCCACCTGCGTTTTCAGGACAAGTTAGGTTTTCATCATTCAATCAGTGCTGGACACCTGCTAATAACCGTGAAAGATAATTGATTTCCTGGCCATTATTGTCAAATTAGTGGTGTGTTTTTATAACATTATTGTGCTGTAATTATCTAATGCTACAGATTTGTTTAGTTAAACGTGTTAAGTTGTAAAAAAGCATCTGGTTTCATAAGAAAAAAAATAACTTCAATCAGCTTTTCTTTAATCTGCAGAAATCAGTTTATATGCCATTATTCTGCAGAATGCCTTTTAAATCTTGCCCTAATAGACAGTTATTTTAATATGGGATTTATTAGAGGGTTTTGGTAGAAAGAGCCTATACACACTCTATAAACAATGTTTGAATTGGATGTCAGAATCATGTCTTTCGTCAGAGAAGCTGTATCCAAATGCCTTTAAGAGCTCAGGGATTACACAACAACCTTAGAAGGTTCTTCAGTTGTCCATTACATCTGATGTTTAAAATACAGCTAAAAAGATATGAAGAATGTTACTTAAGACATTTCCTTTTAGTCCCAAAGCCCAGTTGCAACTGTTTTAACATGTTTTACTTCTGAAGCTGTTGATTTCTTGCCTCATTGTGTTTAGAAAACCATTAACACTCGCCCTGCTTTTGGTGTAGTCTCTTCTTTGCTATCATTTGTTAATACAGTCTAAAATACTGCTGAAGGAAATGGTCTACTACATAATAGACGTTCATGAAGGTTTTCATTTACTGAAGACGTACAGTATATGAAAGTTTTCCTCCATCTGGTTATGGTGCAGTGACATGCAATTTGATTTTGGTTGCACTGATATGCTTTTCAATTGTGTGCCTTTTTCAAAATCAGCTGGGGAGAGACCAGAGCAAACCTATTTAAAATGGCGACAAGGGATTTGGGGTATTCAATTTAATGTTGTCGATACAAAAAGTGTAATCTCATTGTTTTGCATTTTACTTGCCTGTGCAAAAAAAAATGTTTAGTTCTGTTAAATTTAAATTTTGTTTTGTGAATATAATTTTCAGGAAATTAGAAGCAGAATAAGGTATTATGTCGAGACATGAAAAGTCTACATGGACCACTTATTGCATTATTTGGGTTGTTTTTCTAGCTTAACTGGCAAAAAAGTGACTCCAAAATGCAAGTGGTACATCTTACTCTTGTACATTCACAAATGCCTTGAGGCCACACTGAAATTAATTTCTAAGTAGCAAACATTAAAACCAGATTCCTGTCATTTCTGCTCAAGAACATAAGTTTGCGAGATGTAATGCATGCTTCAGGCTGCTGATTTAGGGGATTAAGATCTATGAATGAAGATCCGCTTTTACCTTTCCTTCTGTGCCCCTTCTGTTCTCCATTCTCTCTAATCCACTTTAAACTAGTAATTACCCTGATCTTTCCATGCTTGTAGTATTGGTTTATTCCTAATCATTTCAGAGCATAAATTCATTTTTTTTTATGATTCTTTACTACCTTTTGTTGGTTTTAAGATCAACAGCTCATCGATTTATCAGTTAAATGCCTCCATGCACAGCAGACTTGAGTTATAAATCTTGAGCTTTTATGTCCAGTTTCTTAGACCCATTTATTAAAGCTAAAGATTGAAAAGCTTACCTGTATTAAATTTGAAAAGGCAATACCTGCAGTTTCAAACAAGCCTGGTGACTCTTATCTCTATAACTGATGGTGATGCCAACCCCACCAAATACAAACACTTTTAAGTTATCTGGTTTTATTTGCTGCTGGAGCGGAAACTGGCTTTAGAAGATACATTTAATCACAGTTGAAACATACATTGACTTGTCTACTTTCAGTTGGTTACTGTATCTTAACTGTCTGGGGAACAAATAACTTGGGCCTGTCTTTTAGTCTTATTGCAGTTGCCCACTATGTAACAAGTAAAGGTTACAATGTGGATTTGATGCAGTTGTTGTTTGTTTTTGTTGGGTGGTCCACAGAAATAATATTTTGTCATTTGTGAGTTTGGAGTCTGGTGTGCTGGATCTCGATGATGTGGGAGGTTACAGTAGTGAGGATAGGAACAGCTGAGTAAGTGTTGGGGTGTAATGAATGTATTTTACATTTGTTGTACTCAGACAATGGCTGTAACTACTGCTCCTTGTTGAGACAGTTATTGATGTGGCTTGTTGTTTTCTAACCACAAATGTAATAAACATTGAATGAGACATGCATAGGAGCAGAATATATACTAAATCTCATAGGTGAGACTTAAGACCTGGAAGATGGCTGTTGTAGATAGTGAGGTTTTTGGGAGTAACTTGAGCTATTCTCTTCACCCTTATCTGAAGGCTGTGTTCATGGTAAGGAATGTGGCAACCCTGTAGCCTATGTTGGAAGAGCTCCAAGCAGGGCTACGTCCTGGACAGGACAGCCGTTCATCTAATAATGTAATGTAATAATAATAATAATGTTTCTTTATTAGCCCTATACAATTTCTTGCATTAGGAATGCGTCTTTTCGCATACCCCAGCTTTTCTCCAGGGAGACACAGACACAGAGACAGGGAGAGAAGCTTGGGGTCAGAGCGCAGGGTCTGCCATTGTACGGCGCCCCTGGAGCAGTTGGGGTTAAGGGCCTTGCTCAGGGGCCCAACGGAGTAGGATTCCTCTGCCGGCCGCGGGATTTGAACCGGCAACCTTCCGGTCACAGGCGCAGATCCTGAGGCACAGAGCCACCGCTCCGCGCAGG